AAAGAATGCCAATAAAAATGTTTTGGATAAATAACTCACAGTGTTTTAAAGTCAGTTCTAGAAAAATAAGGTTCACTTGAGTGTGTCATTGGAATTAATGCTTAAGAATATTTAGTAGCACGATACTTAATTTTAAACTACTTACAAACCACTCAGATAAAGGAATCTTGACAACATGAGTACCAAGAAATAGTGGTGTAGCATAAGTCAGATTTTTCTAAGGAGATGTGTGAACTTCTCTGAAATTCACTGAAATTCGCAGTGAAGTTAGAGAGATTTTATGTCTTACCTAAGGACTGTTTTCTGCAGAAGGTAGATGGAGTCAGCGGTTTTTGTAAGCATGCTGGTAAGACATTATATAGGAATTGGGGTTTGGAGAAAGTAAAAGGAAACTGATTATTGATATCCCTCCACCCTCTACAAGTGACTGCAACCCGCACAAACCTTTTACTTCCTCAGGCAGTTCAGAAGTTCCCTCAGAAAGATTCTTACATGCAAGAAGGAATATCTGAATGCCAATATTTGCTTTTAGAAGTCAGGTATGTGAGAATAGCCAGATAGAGGATGGCAGCATAAAGCACACCGTGATTCAAAATTTAAGTGTTTGCTGGCAGAGAACTCATCTGTAGGCAGTAGTGAGTAAACAACAGCTTCCTGTGGTTGGGCACAGTGAAAAACAGGTTATTTAGGGGAAGGAAATACTGCAAGGCTCAAAATTCAGAGAAAAAACAATCATCTCCTTTGTGCTTTGTTATCATAAAGCTGTAACTGTAATAAAAGATTTTGGTTGAAAGTTTAATTCTACTGAAGGCAATAACTAGTCACAGCTGTTACCTCTGTGTTGCAAGACTAACTCAGCGGTACCAGGACGCAAAGTCCATACTAGCAGAACGCCCCCTCCACTCCCAAATCCTTAGTTTTAGTATGAGCGAAAATATATATATTAAGGCAGCCCCCAAACAGCATGTGCACATCTTCAGCAGTGATCACATGGTGAGAATGATGGAAGCAGTGTAGAAAAGCTAAAAGACTTCAGTTTTAATTTGAACTGTAGACAGACTAATGCTTACAGTGTTAGCAGCTTTTAAACAATCATCTTTCCCAAAGCACGACGTCGTTTTCAAGAAATTTTCTTTGCCCAGGAAACATCACAAATGTGATCATACCATATAAGTTCTAAATAGATTTAAAAGTATTGATAATAGTAGGCAAATTTGACAACATGTCCATGATGAAAATAGTCAAATGTGAGCAAAGTGATCAGCAAAGCCAAATGGGTAAACATGAGCAAAGTGATCAAAAATCAAACTGCCTTCAACTATACTTGCGCCTCCTGCACTTTAAATTGCTACATCTTTCTGTCACACTTACTTCTAAATTCAGCACTTGCCATATTAATATCCAGGACGTCCAGAGAGCTGAAATATCAACAAATGATCATATATTGTTATTTATAGGCATACATTATTTATAGCATCTCTTTGTGGCACTGAAATAGAGCAGTGAGGGGGTTTATCCAAGTCTGTGTAGAATTAGCTGCCTGGGAATCTAGGAACGGCAGCAGCCATGTTGTGCCCGGATTTCCGGGCTACTTTGTGCTGGATCAGCCAGGAATTCATGTCAAACTTTAACGCGGCTCCAGTTTGCTTGCTGCTCCTGGCAGAGATCCCAGGCAATTGCTGTGTGAAGCCTGGGGGAAGGGGAAAAACTCGGAGTCCGTCCCACTTCCTGCCAGGGACCTTAGTGGATCCGTGCGGCAAAGCAGACCAAGGAGTGAGAGGAATTTGGGTGCAAGAAGATTAACCGAGAGGAGGGTTTGTTTTCCTTGTTGTTAAAAAGGGGTTGGTCTCTGTTATGATGATGGCTTCCTGTGTCTTAGGGAATTACAGCCTGATGTTTCCTTAGATATCTGTAACTGTGCTGATTTCTAGAGGCAGGTGTTTGCCAGCTTTCATGCTATTTGTTTGTTAGTTTTATTTAATAGATAAGGAAACTGAGCAAGCTCTAGGGCCCAGAACCATGTTTGCCGTGCTCTCATATCACTGTCAGTGAGACCTCTACTCTCAGAACAAACCAGCGCCTGAAAGAAAAAGGTGAATATGCACATTTAATTGTTTTGGTTTTTCTTTTTTACAGGTTTGGTATTTCTTCTAGCCCTTCAATAAGAGTAGTGGTCCTAAAATGGTTGCAGTAAATCAGACAGCACTAATTTTCAGCATGTAGTTCAATTTCACATTTCCGAAGTCACCAGATAGCGTGTTCAGTCTATTATTTATTCAGAAGTTTGTAAGGGTAAAAAATGACAAAAACAAAGAACTAACATGTCAGGCTGCTGTAGATATCAAAATGAAGGAAAAGGAAAATTAATCTAGACAAATAAATAAATAAATAAGCACTTGCAGTTCTCCAGTAATACAACTAACAACGATTGGTTTAAAATGTGCCGCGTGCTCTAGGTGTGAGGCTTGAGGAGGAGGGTTGGACTAGGCGATCTCTAGAGACCCCTTCCAACCTCAACCCTCCTGTGATTCTGTGATTCCACGATGCCACCACCAAAGGTATTAAGACCCAAGTATCTTTTAGGACCACTTCAACTCCCTGATTCTAAGTTCACAGCTTTCCTATGGGGCTGTACAAAGTCTCTACCTAAATAGCAGTTTAAATACTGTCACCGACATCTGTGCCACTGAGGCTACTAAGAGAAAGCAGAAGAGAGCAGAGTTGCTGTACGGGCTTGGAAAACTTGCGAATGCCTTTAGGAAATCTAGGGATTTCTTAGATGCTCAGATCTGTCTGGTATTTTTGTGCTATTCAGCTTATAGGGGCTGTAATGATCCTCAGTTACCCAGGCTGGAGGGAGGACGTTTTCATTGCAAGAGCCCAGGCTTATTCATTTACCCCCTCCAGTCCTGTTAAACACCGGGCTGCCGGCCAGCTGCCGGGAAGGCAGGGCCAGGAGAAGTTTCCTTGCAGACGAGGGCCGGAGCCACTGCTGGCTCTTCCTCCTCCCAGGCTAATGCCTCTCTGTGCTGGCCTTGTCCTGAGCTGTGCACTGCGTGGGGCCTTTAGTTCCTTCAGGAATTGCTGCTAGCCTGTGATTAAGAGGCACCAGTATCGCACAAGTAAGTGGTAATAACTCCAAGTAGTCGGTCCTTTGCTTCACACTAATACAGCCTTTTTGTTTGTTTGTTTTTGAATCATGACACTCAGCATCATGTAGCATCATGTATATGTGCTGGCAAGAAGATCCTTCTTCAAACATAGGCAGTACGTTTTGTGAGAGAGGGTCTCTGCTTCCCCATTAACCTCTGAGTTGGCCAGTGGGCAGGGTGAATAGAATCTCAGCAGTATCTTTCAGGAACCTGCCCATAAAGAGGGGAAAATGACCTAAACCATATGGAAAATACTGCATCTAAGAGAGATAAAGCACATAAGAAGCAGAGGTATGGACAGGAAGTGTAATTTTTGAAGGCATGTCATTTTGGGCACCCAATGTCTGGGCACCCAGACGTTACTTGTAAAAACCAGTGGACTTGGATATGACACTTTTTATTCTCTTTTCCTTGTAAGAACAGCATCATTTACAGTTTCTTCTCCATTGGCTCATTCTTTGAAATTCCTGCAGCAGAATTATGCCCTGCTCTGCCCAGTTTATTATTCTGCAGACATGAAAAAAACCATAGCATTCTTATATACCATTAAAGATGGAAAAAAAAATCTCTCAGAAAACACTGCTTTTTCCCTTTTGAAAATGTACTCATCTGGGGGGGGAGTCATTGGTCAAGATGGAACCTTTTAGGAATTTTTACTTTCTGTTTGGAAGTGTTTTTTGTTTCTAAATGTGTCTTCTGCAGTTATAAAAATAAAAATTCAAAATGGAAGCAAAAAAAATCCTTGAAAATAAATATGCGAATTAGCCTCATACTATTCCTTAATGGAAGTCAGAATATCCTTGTTCTTGTGCTGGTTTGAAATAGAAAGAAGTATGGGAAAGTAAGGATTTCCCATGGACTGGATATTTAACACTCTGGTCTCTTTCTACATGGAAGAAAATAAAAGGCACCTCTGATTTACTTTGCAGTGTTAAGATAAGCCTGTGCCAGGCCCTGTGGAACCAATTTGTCGTACATTCCTGCATGACTTTTACATCTTCAGTGCCACATTTTCTGCAGATGCCTTAGTGTAAGAGTGTATTTCCAAAACCATTCTGTATCCGGACAGGTTAGTTATACTGGGTAATTCAACAAGCATAGGAAATTGCTTCCACTCATAAAATTGGACTTCCTAGGGAAAAAAATAAATGTTTAGGAACTAAAAGGATTGGCTTTTATAGTCCAGGTTGAATTCGTAGAGTTGGCGGATGGGAACACTGGCCTGACAAACTTGTAAGTGACATTAGGCTTAGAAATTCCTGAGACAGTCATCAGAATGGTCGTAAATTTGCTGTGCAACAACTTGCAACACTGAGACCAAAGTACTTCTTTGAACATACTAGATCTTTTCCAAAGTTAAAAGTTCACATTAGTTTCCAGGTTGGCTTTTCTTGGAGTGCTTTACGATTTCTAAGCTCATGGTAAGGACTACATTCTCTTCCTGGAACTTAAAAGATAATTTGAGGTAAACCAAAGTTTGAGAAATCCGTTTTATTTATCGTTGCCTACTGTTGGCGACTTAATAGAAACCTTCCTTTCAGTGATCGCCAGCAGTTTTGGGTGTGCGTGGGAGGGAGGGGGCTGGTAATAATTGCCAACCTTAACATTTGTCCAAGACCTTGGGTTCTTTCCTCCCGGTAGCTACATCTCAGCAGGGCGTTGCGCTCTGGGGCACAGGAATTGCCTCGTGGAGCCCTCGTGGC